AGGGAAAGAATTATCAGACAGTTGCCATTTGATTTCTTTTATGAGAAAGGCCTTATCATGAGGCTTTTAAAAGTAGGTGGAAATAATTGATGAACAGTAATAACAGTTCTGCAGTCAATGATCAACAAAAATTGCTTTCCGGAATGGCATGTTTATTTTAGCTGCTGAAAAACTGTTTCAGAAAAGGTTTGTATGACACTTACTCACAGTTATTCTTCCATTTTGATTTTGAGGAGAAATAATTTGCTTTTTTAAAAATATGGTTATATTTCACCCTTGAAATCTAGATTTACAGTACGTACAGCAGACATGGGTGAATAGCTCAGTCTGACCCAGTCTCTGCGGGGAATGTTGAAAAAACTGAAACGGGTTGTTATGTGTCGTTAAGTACCCTGGGTATTCGAATGTATACCAACAATTAATTTAGCAAGTAAATTTTAAGAAGTGATAGTGTTTGTTCACCTAGACCTGATACCTTACTGCTCCTCCAAGATTAGAAAAGACAGGATTTTCACCAGTCTACTTGCCCTTTGAATGAACCTTGGTGAAATTGTTGGCCAGCTTTCACACAGGGCTGTGGGGGAACAGTGTACAGCATTTACATGACAAAAATAGTGAGTGAAAGTAGAATTCTTAAAAACTCTCTTGCTGCCAAGAAGTACAGCAACTTGTTGCCTGATTTTAGAGCTATTACTAACACTATGTGCAAATATTGAGGGAAAGTCTCTCTGATCTGTGCTGCATACTGGCTGTAAATACAGTCTACAGCTAATTGCTTTTGGAATGCAAGTAGTCTTTACAACTCAAAAAACATATGGCATTGGAAATTAAAGTAACTCTTGTTTGCAAACTAGGATGGTATACTATTTTTATTTTTTTTTAATGCAACACCAAAGCCATTAGTCTTCTCTAGGTCTTTTCCAAAATGCCTTTAAATCTTTAGGTAAGTGGGATATTTGTAGGTATCTCATGGGACTCAGATACGAGGGATTTAGACATAAAGATGTGTATTCAGTTATTCAGTTGGCAAGAGTGCATCTTACTAAGGTGAGATTCACCCTTTTCTTCACAGAGAAGATGATAAACAATAACTAAGTTTTTTGTATCTCTGTGAAAAACAGACCAAAAATCTGCTATTTCAAAATGAGGTTTTTAGTATTTTTAGGCCAAGTATTGTTTAGGCATGTTGAGATTACACCTGTCTGATGGTGACCTGTTTTTTGTCCAATTAAAAGTTAATAGGACCTTTATATCAATTTATTTATACCTATACTATGAATAAAAAAGCTGCAGTTTTCTTCTGGTCTAGTAGAAAACAAAAGTAACAATTTAATGAAAGATCAAATATTATAGAAATCATATAAGAATGAGTGACTTCATCTCTTTCCGGCTTTTGTGGTACAGGAGATAAAAACCAGCTCTGATTGAACACTGCCGCTTGAAATATGTGAAGACTGAAAATATTTTATTGTTGCTTTTGCAGGATAAGAAGGCTTATCTGGACATCATCCACACCTATATGGAAGTCCATGGAACTGTTCACGGGACGAGCACTATTTATATTCCCGGCTACGTGAAAAACCATGGTATACTCAGTGGGCGGGATTTGCAGTTTCTACTGAGGGAAACCAAAGTAAGTTTGTCAAGAGGGAGTAGTGGCAAAAATAGCTACAGATAGACAGTATCTGAAGTGCATGCATTTCACCTCCTACGAATGAGCTCCTAATTTAAAAGCATTGGAAAAATAAATGACCCAGTGTAAAGGAGCTTAAGTTGTCTTCTGTGTGCTAAGAATACATTTTTCATCATGTCCCTTTTTGGACATGGGTCGACAGCTATTGTTAGAAAATTGGGACAACAACCTACAGTCACAGATACATTTAACAATCAGCTTGAGAAACATGGATAAACGAATTTTTCATTTTCTTAAATGTGATATTCAGCTCAAGGAGATTATCAGCTGAGAATGTGCTTTGTTTTACATCCCTGATGTGAAAGTTAGGTAGTATCTGAAAGCCGTACAATAGGCGTGCTCGCTCTGCCCTACCAATGACTTTAACATAGAGCGACCCTACTCTCTTGGGGAGAAAAGAAGAAAGGCAAGCACTTCATTTGCCATTCAGTTCCTTCCTCTGCTTCAATTGTTCAGAGAGAGTGAGCAAAAGAGTGTGTTTTTTGTGGTACGCTTTGCCTGTGGCTTCATAGTCAAGGTAACTCAAGATAAGGGACAGTAGGTACATTGAAATAAACTTTTGTCCCCATAGTTAGAATGCTTTGTGGGGTTTTCTGTGCCATTCCCATAATCTTTGTGGCACTTTAGGACGTTAAAACACTTTAGTAGATTACATTTAAATAGGATGTTTAACTTCCAGTTGGTGAAAGAAGTCGTTTGTGTGCTTAAAATTAGCAAAATGTGTGGAACTGCACCACTTACTCCCCATTGTTGATAGTTTCTTGCTGTGCGCTTCTACAGAAGAATCTATTAAAAAAACAAAAGAAAAAAGCAAGCACCTCCCAGTCTTCCCACACGACTGCAGAGATCTCCTTTTTGAAATATTTGGGAAAATGATGGTAATTTCACATCTCTGTGTGACAGCTGTTGGCAAATTATGACTTTTTAAAGGCAACCACTGTGTGTATGTACTTGATGCATACAGATACACATAATGTTGCAGATTAAAAAGTCAACATTTACTTTCGTCATAGGTAACAGATCACACTGCTTTTGCCTGTGTGGAGTATGAAATCACTGTGTTAATCATAGTACTAACGTGGGAAGAATATTGGCATTGTAATAACCCCAAGCACAAACAGTGACTTCTTTCTGAGAAAAAAAAACACGTGTTCTATTCACTAAAAGAAGCTAATGGACTTCCTATAGAATTACTGAAGTCCTTATAATTTACAAAGTGCTGTTCACAATAATAGTTATGTTTGAGTAAGTCTTCCTCTAATTTTTTATTAGCCATCTTACATGTATTACACTAAAAAGCTTGATTTGTCAATACTAAGTAGACAGCTCATCTGGTTGTTATTAGTTATATTTGCTGTGCTCTAAGATGCAATGTAAAGACACATTCAATTTAGGGCAAATGCAAGTTGATACATACGTATTATGCAACTCAGCACAGTGCAGTAACACGGGGTTTGTGACGCAGGAAGTAACCAGACTAGTTTCACTCAGTTTTTAACTAGTAATTTGGATATCAGATGGAAGATACTACCTTGTGCTTGTGAAGTACTCTTGAGATCAGTAAGCTGCATATTTTTCACAACTTGTATTTTTGTGAAAAGCATGCATCTATGCTGTACTGTTTTCAGAATCCTACAAGCATTTTAGACTTGTGACTTTAGTGATTTTCTATTGTTCATTGTTTTTTGGTGGTGGGTTGGGTTTTTTTTTTTTTCCTTCCTAACATTGGGGAAAATTCTTTGAGAATTTGCTGCGTTTCTTAATAGATGGCACTGAGAAACACATCAATGTGTTTCAGAATGCTGTATCAGGAAGACAGTGGTTTTATCACATTATCTTTTTGATACAATCTTTCTTAATAAGCTGTTTTAATATATTTTTTTTTAAGGCTGCAAACAATATTTGCATATGGCTTTTCTGAACTACTGTTAGCAGATTTGCAAATGACAAAAGCTGTTTTCCTTTTAAGGAAATTATTTATTTATGATACAGCCAGGCTAACAAAAGTTTGACCTGATGATAAGCAGCTAAGAGTCTGTCTGCCTCTCGTAATACTTATTATTGTCAGGCAAATGGGAGTGCACTCTATTTCTGATGTTGCAACAAAATGAAATGAAATATGGCTTACTGCGTCGTGAATTTTGGTTATTACTCCTGTCTAATACTTACTTGTTCCAATATATCTAGTTTAACAGAAAAAGTGAAACACCAGGGTCCTGAGATTCAAAGTGGAAACTGAGAACTGAGGTTTACCATCTAATTTGTTTGGACTTTTTCAGTTGCAGGTGGATTTTGTGGTTGAATTTTGTCTTTTTTTTTTTTTTATTTGCTAGCTGATAGTCTCTCATAGGTATGGTGGCTGTTCTGCCTTAGCATATGGTTGCCTCTCAGCATTGATCAACTGACATACTTGCTCTAAGTCTTCTTGTTACCTGCACATTCACGGTTTCACATTTTTGATATCTTTTAAGAGACAATGCTTTAACGTAGCTTAGCATAAAACACCACTCACCTGTCTCTGCTGGCCATCTGCTGCGTGTGTGGGTCGATTGTGTTTATATCAAATGGATCGGGGATTGAATCGCTAAAATAAGTGGAGGTTTTCCACAAAATCAAGCTGACTTGAATGGGAGCTTTGTGCCCCGAGGAGACTCGTGTATGTGCGCACATGCGTCCAGTGATGTTCAAGGACACCTTTTAATCATAATCACTTTAATCGCTAGGCAACGTGACCGGAGCCCCATAATGAATTTAGTTATGGGGTTTTGTCACCAGACAATCAGTGTGCTGAAAGTATGTGAATAATCGGAGCCGTAACTGGGGAATGGTAACATCTGTGGGTACAATGCTCACTTGAACCATCTAGGCCTACTGTTTACTGTCTCCGAGCTACAACCTTTGTCTTTAAGCTTCCAGAAACTTTGAGTTTTCTTTTTCTAAACATATGTTTTCATACCCAAGGGCAAGGATTGTCTTTCATCACTTGTGATTTCAACATTGTGTTAGCAAGTTTTTGTTAGGTCAGCTGACAAATGATCTAGTTTTCAGAAAGCCGGAGCTAAATAATAATTTAACAAATCACACAGTGCAGTGTACTCAGAAGTGTCAGTTTGTGTTGCACAGCTTCGTTTTCCCCTTAGACAGCAAAATGCCGATAGGTGACGGCTCAGTCATGATTCTTGATCAGAGCTTCGCATTCCCAAAATGTATTAGTTTGTATAGGACACAGTTATTCCCAAAAGCCTGCAGCTGCCATTTCATTCTGGTGTGTATTATAAAGCAAGGCATTTCAGAATAAGTGCGTTTTCCAAGCAGGAGGGGGCTGTTTGAGATTCATCATGGCTAGTTCAGCTGTGTAGCGCATGACAAAAACGAGACATGTCAACAGTTCCTAATGAGAAGATGTAAAACCATTCATCACGTCAGAGGAAAATAGGGTAGGCGAGCTGGCAGCCTTCCTGCCAACTTACGTGGCTTCTCGCCAAGTGGGCAGCTGGAGGAGTTGGACCAGTCTCTTGGAAGAACCAGTACTGAATTCTCGAGAAATATTCCTCCTTTCGCGAAAGTTTCAGATGCACCTTTTCACTTTCAAGTCACTGTGAATTTTTGAGGGAATCCAAATTCTTCTACTAAGTGGAACTTACCATTTCTGACTGCTGATTAATAAAAATAGGAGCAACGCCCTGTTTAGACAGTTTGGGAAAAATCCCGTTGCAATGTTGGATAAGCGGAAACAGGAAAAGAAACTTTTCATGTTGCCTTTTATGAAGTAATATATTTTTTACTTCCATAGGCTTCACAAGATCAGCTGAAAAGACATTTCTATTCTAAGGTTGTTTCAATCACAAAAGCATTCACTTTTCCAGAAAGTATTTATATTCATGAGAAAAATATATCAAGATAGTTAACAACAGCCTTTGCTACACTTCTCTTTCTGTAGTTCAGAAGAGAATATATAAGTTCAGTAAGGAGGCATACAAAAGTGGTGATAAACTTACAAACCCAACAGAATAATTTTGATAAAGTGCAGTAATGTTAAAAAGGGGGGAGGAGAACATAAACATTCCTCTTTCTGGAAGTATAGCATTTAGTCTCTGGAATAGGGAATTTTTCTCTTAAATACTCAGCTAGTCAGAATTACTGTCAGTGAGGTAAACCATTCACTCCTTATGCTATACCTTTGGCCATAGTTTAGAAAGACTGTTCAAATACTCATTTTAATAACAGTCCAATCTGGTGCCATGAACTCCTCAAATAAATTGCTTAGTGTCAACTGAAAGTCAGTGCTTTCCAAAAAATAAACCAAAAAAAACCCCTGTTTTGTCACGGGAGTGTTTGTGAAGCACTTTTCACGTCAGAGAAGTTTCCAGTTAGCCACTACACCATGAAAGGACTGCCTGCATTATAATCAGAAAAGAGCGGTGTCTTGGCTGGTCCGATGCTGGGTGGCCAACTCCAACGCCTGAAATTCCAAACCAGGGGCTTAGTTCACTGCAAAAGCAGAAAAGGTTCCTAAGGAGCCTTTCTTATGAAAACCAAAGCGTAAGGGTTTTAACACCTGCTTTACTCAAGTTGGGCAAGTGAGATTGCAGACACCAGTACCCTTTTTTGACTCATGCAGAGCTACAGGCACAGACACACCGGGGTAGCAGACCTTGCAAACAAGGACATGGTTTAAAAAAAAAAAAGAACACACCACTGTTACCATGATCATTTTACATCTGTATTTATTTGCTGTCGTCTCCTTTAGATGCGCTTTTATACTGTAAACTCCTCCTGGCAATCACCTCATTATATGGGGCATTAACGTACAGAGCCTACTGTGGCGTGCGCCGACTTAAAGCAGTATGAAAAATAATGGTTCTGGCTTTCGAAAACATTTGAAAGGTGAGAAAAATGCTCACATACAGAAAATGAAATAGTTTCAAGCACTAATCAGCCAATAAAGTATAAAGGAATTCTACTCTGCATAGCGATTCTGCTGCAGCTAACAAATGGCAATCAGGGCTGACATTTTTGAACCACAGTTATGCTGCCAATATTGTCAAATTTGGAGGTTTGAATTATAGATCTTCAGCCACAGGGTGAAGGTAGCTGCCCACAGTGGACTCCCGTTACCGGGCACAGCCTCTGGTAAGAGACTACCCTCAAAGCCATAGTCAGCAACCTTTTGTGGAGGCAACAGTGTGCATTTATATCGCAAAATAGTGGAAACACAGTGTGTTCTGAATTTTTATCATTTTGTGGGAAGGAGCCTTGTCTTCCCCACAGCTTCAGCCGTCCTGAGGATGGATGCTTGCTGCACTGGTACCAGAAAATAGTTGTCTGTTATTTGTACTTTTTTCTTTTCTTCCTCTTCTTTTTCAGTTAGAGAGTTGCAGCATTTGTTACATACTTTTAGGAAGTACCTTGACAGATTGTTTTAGCCTTTCTGGAAACAAGAAGTTGCATGTACTTCAAAGGATTAGCAAATTAGAGCGTCATGAGAATGAGTTATAGAAATGACATGTGTTACCCAGTGCTTTCCTTTTGAATCATGATGAATGTGACTTTCTGGAGGCAATTAAGATATTCCTCAGTTTTGTTCTTTATACCATATAAAAATACTGCCTTCCTAACAAAGGAACCTTAATAAAGGGCAATTTTCAGGAGCAGGGTCTAGATTCAGTTTGGGAATTTCAGCTGACCTGATGACGTTGTGGTGGAGAGTGACAGAAGAATTTGGAGGGTTGAAAGAAGGAGCTGGGGGGGGCTGCAGGCAGCTGTGAGCCAGGCTAAAGCCTCACGCCGTCAGTCAGCACACACGCGTGCACCGTTCTAGCAATCAGACACATCCTTCTTCCTTCAAAGGTACGGTGCTGCTTAGAGGTAAGGTTGGAAAATGGATGCGAAACAGGTGGTAAGCTATTTATTATAGATTAAGTGTTGACAGTGTGCTCTGTGCTGTCAAAACATAAAACCAGGTTTCTTTCCCCGTGGAGCTTCCTCCTAAATAAACGGACCAGTCAGACACAGAACTGTTGAGCAGCGCACAGCAGCAGTTTATTAAAAAAAGTGAAAAATGAAGCAAACAAACCAGCATTCTCTACCTAACAGCCAAACACAGGATCATAGGAGAATTGATACTTCAGATGGTTTTAATTGCTGGCTCTCAGCTGGTTTTCTGCCTGAACTAAGGAGTAGTTTAAATAAATAACATTGTGTGTGCAGATTGCGTGAAATGGTTTCAAGTCTGTAATTCATTATTTTCAAGAAATTACCTTTCTTTAAATTAAGCCTCTTTTAAGATGAAATTTTCTATGTATTTTTTCTGACTGGAAGGTAATGTATCTTATGCCACATATAAAACCCAAATGTAGATAATCTAGCTTTAGTGGAGATAGTCTTTTGTTTTTATCAGCCACTGGAGAGTTTCCTGTAGGATTTAAATCTGTGAGATAGCTGAGAAACTTCTTGCAAGTAGGTGCCTTCTTTTAACCTAAAAATTGAAAACTGAAATAGCAATATTCAGCTCCGTGCAGTGCAAGTTGTATGTCCCCAACTATGCTGAGAAGTGTTAACTTTCTTTTTAAAATGAGCCAACTCGGAATTTATCCTGTTGTTGCCATGGGCTGGAGAGGATTGATGCTGCAGTGCTTGTGCCCAACAATGCTGACGGGTGGACTTTTGATGATCTTAAGGGTCTTCTCCGACCTAAACGATTCTATGACTACAGGTTTATGTATCAATGTTAAGGTCAGCTCCTAGAAGGGGCTTCAGTTTTGAACCTTCTCTTACTAGGATTCACTGCCGTGTTGCAGAAAATTTAATGCAGAATAGTATAATTTCACCTCTGTGAAGACATGCATCCTGTATACATGATCCCAATAGTTATGAAGATTGCTCTTTATATTCTTGAAAAAAGCAGTATCTCTATATATACATTTAGTCATCCGGCAGTGCTCAGAAATTACTGTTGCAAATCAGAGCTTGTCATTCTCCCGTTATACACAAACATTCAAATAAAGATCAAGAATCTTACATTTAATTCAGGGGGTTTAACTTTGTTGGGCCAGGAAAGGGGTCAAGATTCAAATAAAATCCAGGCAACTCTGAAAAAATATTGAATTTCTTTACGCTGGAGAAAAGCACTGCCTTTTCTAGAGCACCTGTAATCTTGGCTGATGTAAGAATTGCTTTGTGATGCGTTTTTCCTCCTTCAGTTTACCTTGGAGGGGTTGAACCCTCCTAGACCTATGCAAGTTCTCGCTGCCCAGGCACAGTGTCTTCAGCTGATGTTTGCTGCCATCTACCGTTTTAATTAGAAGACTTAATCAGTTTGGCAGGAGCGTGTTCGCAGCGGCAAAACCAGCAGGTTAGCTGATGTGGGAGAGCGGGGGAAAACAGTAGTGTAGCTGTTCCGTGAGGTTGCTGCAGTAAAACCTGTACCTGCAAGAGAGGCCCTGCAGTTTCATTTCAACACCAATCAAACCACCAAATGACTTTTTTTTTCCCCCAAAAAAATAACTGAAAGAGTCCGTTGTTGCCTCAGCTCGCTGAAAAACCACCTGAGCTCATTACAGAAGATTATTGTCAAATGTTTTACTGGACATTCCGTTACTGCTTGGGTAGGAGGGGCTGAGCTGCTGAATTTCTCCCGTTTTCTTAATGTTGGAATTTTTTAGGCTGGTACCTTTAGAATGTGTTATTGTTTAAGTTAGCTCTTAGCTTTCAGTTTTTGTAAAGAACAAAAATTAAGATAGTCCTTGTTTTCTATTTTTCAGCTGTTCGTTGGTCTCGGATTTCCATATGAAGGGCCGGCTCCTTTAGAGGCCATTGCTAATGGATGTGCTTTTCTAAATTTAAGATTTAACCCACCAAAAAGTAGCAAAAACACAGAATTTTTCAAAGGCAAACCTACACTCCGAGAGGTAAGCTTTATCAATCTTGGTAATTTCTTTATTGAAAATTACTGTGGATTTCTTTTTAGTAACTCAATATAGAAAAAATTGCATAAGTGTTCTCAGTTTATTGCAAAAACTGTTGTTTTCTTTAGCCATTGATGGGTTTATCAGTCCTTATTTTTATAGGATAATCAGACTTTTTCATTAACATACTGCTAAGCTTTTCCTCTAGATTTGCCTATATGTACGTTCTGCTAATTCTTATTGACAGATCGTAAACTGAAGTTTCACTTGAGATCCTGATGTTCTGCCCAGAACAGGTCGTGTCATCTGATACGTGATGTGTCATTTGAAAGTGGTTTTATTTTGTTGGAGAAACAAACATTACTGTGACCTGTGTAGGAAGTAAATAGGTGTTTAAGTAAATAATAAAAATGCCATTTGTGGGTTGTTGTGTGTGTTTTGGGATAATTATTATTTTTTTTTCTCCAGAAAAGACCAGCTCAAGGCACTGTTGAGCTAAGGTATTAATGGTCATAGCCCACCGTGTGTGTGGTTAAACACCGAAGACATTTGGAGAACTGACTCTTTAAGAGAACAGGAAAACCAAACCTCAAGCTTTCAAAACAGGCAGTGTGTTTAGACTCCAGCAAGAGAAAAATGAGGCTAAGTAAACTAGCCCCTCATCCTGGCACTGACTTTGGAATATTTTTCTTCTTCGGTGTAGGTAAAATTCAGCCTATACCGTTGCAAGTATTTAACCATCATGTAGCCATTTCTAACATTAGCCCTTTTTTTGCCTGTGAGCATGGCTTGTTCATAGGTGTATATAGAATCATAGTATAGAATTGCTGAGGTTGGAAGGGACCTTTAAGATCATCAAGTCCAACCATTAACCTACCCTGACAAAACCCTCTAAGCCGTGTCCCCAAGTACCACATCTACCCTTTTTTTAAACACCGCAGGGGAGGGCGACTCCCCCACCCCCCTGGGCAGCCTGTTCCAATGTTCAGTAACCCTTTCAGTGAAAAAAATTTTCCTAATATCCAATCTAAACCTCATCTGACATAACTTGAACCCATTTCCTCTCGTCCTATCACTTGTCCCTAGGGACAAGTCGTCAGCCCCCACCTCTCTACAACCTCCTTTCAGGGAGCTGTAGAGAGCGATAAGGTCTCCCCTCAGCCTCCTCTTCTCCAGGCTGAACACCCCCAGTTCCCTCAGTCGTTCCTCATCAGACTTGTGCTCCAGACCCCTCACCAGCTTTGTAGCCCTTCTCTGGATACGCTCTAACATCTCAATGTCCTTCTTGTAGTGAGGGGCCCAAAACTGAACGCAGTACTTGAGGTGGGGCCTCACCAGTGCCAAGTACAGGGGGATGTTTGCTTCCCCAGTCCTGCTCACCACACTATTCCTGATACAGGTTAGGATGCCGTTGGCCATTTTGGCCACCTGGGCACACTGCTGGCTCATGTTGAGCTGGTCATCCACCAACACCTCCAGGTCCTTTTCTGCCGGGCAGCTTTCCAGCCACCCCGCCCCAATCCTGTATCGCTGCATGGAGTTGTTGTGACCCAAATAATATATGTATTTGTTGTGACCCAAAATATATGTATTTTCTTTACTTACTTGCCTGAAGGGAAGGCTCTCTGGTAACACTTAGATGAGGAGAACTTGGCACAGCCACATTTCCCAATTCAAGTTACACTTGGGCTATATAAATGCGTACTGAGCTAGTTGATAAGCAAAGGACAGTTTCCCATTTTAAACCAGGAACATAAATTCTTTATGGTTTTATGATCCAGGACTGTGCCTGCCTTTCAGCTTGTTATACATTCAGTAGGTTACAGGACTTGAGTTCAAACTCGCCCCTTCTCACAGTCTGCGTTGCTAACAAAGGAGAGAGCAATAAGGGGAAAAAAGTCTGTTTAAGCTTTCTCCTTGGGCTTGGCACCTTTCTTCGGTGGGTCGCTCGGCTGTGTCTCGTTTCCAGTTGTTCTGTGCCCAAACACTGTAACTGGTCAGGCTCAGTAAATAATCTAAACCCACCTTAACTCTTGAGTAGGAATTGTCGTGCTTGGAATGCTGGGCTAAATCCCCTGGCATGTGTCAGCGCTAACAGAAATGCCGTGCACCTGACTTGCACAGAAAAATAATCCCTATTGACTCCTTTCGTGCTAAATAATATAATGAACATTAATCATGAATATCTCTGCGTTCACATGCTCTGCTGACCTGTCCTAAGAGTAACCTGTTCTCTAACCGCTTTTCACAACTGCCTTTAGATCCGATTGCCAGTAGTCCATGTGCTGGTTCTTTGGGATTAAGAAAGTCCTTAAGTCCTTCTCTCAGTTTTTTTCAAGTGTTAAAGGAGAACAAAAAAAGCTTGTGTAGCTCTGGGAATTGATTATCCATAGACCAATTTGAAGATAAAGTCTGTGTTTAGTACTTTTGTAAAGTAACCGTTGCAAGTCACTATTTCTCTCTTGTTCTAGCTAGAAATTTTTTGGGGGTGGGGGAGTTAACTGTTTCCCCTCTGCCTGCAAGATGGGGCCCTGTAGGGAAGACTGTGTGCAAAAACTGGAAATGACAATTTTCATTTTAGTTCAGCAGTTGTTTTGTCTTGGGACATGATTTCGCTGGGGAAAAGAGCCAGGAAAAAAAAAAAATCATCTTCAAGCAGCTTGTTTTGCACCAGTATTTGTACCAATATTTCTTCTCCATTCTGCTACTCCCAAGAAAGAAAACACTGTATGATATGATTTCTTTCACTTTCTGCTTTTAGGAAGGAAAAAAAAAAAAAGACCTGAAATTAGAAATTAATTCCAAATCTATTTATAAGAATTCTCATAGATTTTAATAATAGACGGAGGGAGTATCTCCTGAATACCTAAAACATTAAGCCTCGGCTAATTAAAGCATTTCAGTATTAGGAAATAGCCTTAGTACTTTTTGAGAGTATAGATGTAGGAAAACTCATGCAATAAAAATATGTTGCTAGTTACTCTTAAAGCACCTCCTGATCTGAGAAGTTTAATTGTTTGTCTTCCAGATCAGATCTGGCTTTAATGTTGCCCTCCCCCTGTCTGAGAAGGGAGAGAAAGAGTGGTCTGAGGCACAATCCTAAAGCTTTGTGGAATTTGAAACACTGGTTTATGTTCATGTTATTAAAGGTGCAATAGAAGGCTTTTTGTTGTTACTGAAAGCAATAGTAGTAGCTTCTGCCATCTGAAGTCCAGACATAAGTGCCCTGGGAACTCAGTCTTGGGAACCAAATTTTTAAGTACATATAGTTTTAGTGGCAATAGAAATACGGTTGAAAAAAAGGTTAGAATGTGTTGGTCTTCGAGAAGAGTTGGACTTTTTGGAGGAATTTATAATACGCCGATGTGAGCGCAGTGCAGTGGGCTGCAAGTGACCGCAGGCAGTTAGGGAGGCTGTCGGGGCGCAGAAGCGTCCGAGTTCCCGGCCCGGCAGCGGTCTTCCGCCAGTCCGCGAGCCCTCCGCGCCACGCTGCCCTGCCGCAAAGGGGGGAGCCCGCACAGCCTCCCCTGGAGCACTGGCCTCAGAGCACAGATTTATGGTAGCTGATCCCATATGTAACCCTAAGACTGGCTTATCTGGTCCACAAGCAAAATGCAATAGGCAAAAAAAAAATATCTAAGTAGTTTCTTGCATTCACTGGGGGGGAGTGCAAGTGTGGTGTATCCCTGGTGCAGGACAAGGCTCTTTCCAACTTCAGATCTTTTGCACTGTCTAGATTTCTCTTTGTATCATGCGTAAAGACGCAGCTGGATAAAAATTGTCTATGAATAATCTGTCCAGGGGGCAGTGTATTTATTTAAAAAGCAATTTTCTTCTGAGGCCTTTGAGAAACATTCCCCTCTCTTCTGCAGCTTTTGCTTCCTCTCCCTGTGTTCATTCGCATGTTCCTCTCACACAGTGCAACCTGTCAAAAAACCTACTTCTAGTGCTGTCGTGCTAGTTCTGAAAGCAATCTCTGAGTTAACTTTTCTTAGTTATCTACTTGGGTATTTATTGAATTTGTTTTCTGACAAAGTGATGAGCAAAATACCAATTAACGCTCTTACTGAGGTCAAATCACTCTTGTACTAGGGTTAGGGTTAGAGTCAGAATTCAGGTTTAGGGAGAGTCAGAAATCATCTAAGTGATAGAAATGATTCTTTATTCACTACTACTCGCAGAAGCTTGGAAATGTGTGACATTTGAAGGAGAGGCGGGACAAGGGTGACATCTCCTGAAGGCAGTCAGGCAGGTCTGGCCAGGACAGGTAGCAATTACGGGCCGTGAAAACTCAGGGCTGCTCTGGGACTGAGCTGTGGGGAAGCGGGGTCATGTTGTAAAAGTAATTTCAGTAAGCATCAAGTCTACTGCGATGGGGGTCATTATGAGGATCAAAGCCACAAATGAGAGGTGCACCAATGTTACTTGTGATCTGTGTTATTATCTGATATTCAGTTTTCCAGCTAAATTCACTGTCTAAATTTAAATGCGAAAAATCTGAAAGATAACTCGGAATGACGGTGACGGTTCAATTCTAGCTGAAGTCTTGTCTTAGTCCTAATGCACTTCATGCAAAAAGTCTGATGAAGGGAGTGAAAGATATCTTGACACACTAATTTTTACCAATATCACATCTTCCTTTCAGTTGACATCTCAGCATCCCTATGCTGAAGTTTACATTGGGAAGCCCCATGTCTGGACTGTAGACATCAATGATCTTTCTGAAGTTGAGAAGGCTGTGAAATCAATTTTGAATCAAAAGGTGAGCAATGTATCCTCAATTTATCATCAACGCTTGAAGGGTGTACTGTGTACTGCATGTAGAGTGCTTCCTAATGTTAGGCTAATTAAAGCAGAGTGCTGCACTTCGGTAGGGTATTGGGAAAAAAACCATCTTTATTACATCTCTGTGGTACCTGATTATCGTGTTCCAGTACTGAATGTGTCAGGGTTTACCTGAAAAAAGTGTGCTAGAGGGAATTTGTATAGAAATGTGAATTTCATATGGAAATTATACAGCAATCTGAATTTTCTCTGCATTCAGTGAGGAAGTTTCCTTGTTGACTCTTCGAGCACTGCAGGCTGCCCAAATCCACGCTCGACTCCTTTGACTGTTTTTGTAGCCTTGACATAACGACCACTGAAGTGCTCGTGCACTTACAGCATGGAATTGTAATGAGGGCACTCCAAGGGGGAAAAAAAAAATTTGAAGTAATTTTCAGAGGTATCGTGTTCGTTTTTTGTCATAATGTTTTCTTTTTCACTGCAGCTCCAGAACCGAAACTTAGTTAAAGCAGGAGCTGCGGAATGCCGTAGGGTCTCAGGCTAGCGTTATGTCTCTTGCTTTGCAGTGTACCCTGAGTTTCCTTAAAGATAATCACTGTGCAACTTTTATTGCCTTTACAAAGGAGCAAAACTCAGCTTAAACTGCTGATGGCTTTGTGAGATTGTGATTTGTTAATGAGTTTATTTGCATTTATTGTTGCTACTTAAGCTGTAATGTAGTATTTGGAATGCAAGCTGCTACCACACAGCGCACCACAAAGATCATTTAAACAAAATTCTCTCTAACCTTAACGCACTATGTTTCCACAGATTGACCCTTATTTGCCCTACGAATTTACATGTGAGGGAATGCTTCAGAGGATGAATGCATTTATTGAAAGACAGGTATGAACTTCTAGTGTGGATGAATCCTTTATTTTATGTTGGAAAGGAAGGACCCTCTCCATTTAAAGCTTCTGGGTGGTGGTGCTGTTCGAGTAGAAACAGGAGCTGTGCAGGCCTTGCCTGGGCAGTTCTTTGCTTGGATGAAGTTCTCTCGGGAGGTCCACGTGGACTCAGAGATTCACTTCTGTGGACTTGGCCACGTGGGGCTTGCGAGGCTTCTTCCAAATACTGTACCGGTGGGATTTTTCATGTGGAAAGAGACTGACTAGAAATCAAGAAGAAGTGCTGGCTACCAGAATATTCGTTCTGCTTCTTAGTTTGCCATTGGGTTCTGATTAATCTGCGAGTGTCTGATTTAGCATATGTCGTTGCAAAAATGGATCTACTTGCCTGAATTTCAGGAGCTATAGGAGCTTTTAAATTTTTTTAAATTTATTGATCGATTATTTGATTGATTGATTGATTTACAAAGAACCTTCCTTCTTCTGATGTTATATCAAAGCAGAAAGCCAAAGTAATTTTTCAATGTATATGTGACTTCTTTAACTGTGAACACACAAAAAATCTTTGGATGCTGAAGTATCACATAGATATTGAGATGCCTCTGGGGTAGAATTGCACTTAGGCTAAAACCTCTGGGCGGATTTTTCAAGTATTTAGTTTCAATCGATAAAGCTTTAAATGGCTTGGAAACCTGTTACTTAAAGGACTTCTGGTCCCCATACATTATTGCCAGCTGAGAGCAGCAGAAGATACTGAGTTGGAGTAATAAAGTGCAGAGATTTATGTGGGATACTGATTTCTAGAAACTGTATGTTTGCTTGGACTTCTGCCCAAGGCCAGGTCTGTTGCAGCAGCCAGCTCTGCCTTTTGTTCGGCTGCTGCAGCAGAGAGATAGGAATAACCTCTGTCTCTGTTATGCCAATTAACTTCCAGGATTTCTTTCAAAAGCACTGCACACGCTCCTGTACCTCTGTTTCTGAAAGAGGACGGTATTACAGACAGTAATAAAGACTAACACAGCTTCAGATCAGAAGTGTAGTTAACATAATACAGCTATTTCCAGTTTCCTGCCCATAAACACTTTATGTTTTTTGCTGCTGTAGTGATGACATAGCCTGTAAAACTATCTCTGGTTCTTTTCATTCTTCTACCTGAGTTAGCTGTAGTTGGGAGGTTTTGTCGATCCAGGAGGAACCAGGGCTCGGCGTAGGGGAGAAAAAGAGACAATCTACAGACAGCAGCTGTGGGGCAAAACTGTCTTTCCCCTCTGCACCTCCCCCAGGGGCTAAGCCCCGGCCTGCACCGCATGCTGCTCAGAAATAAATACAGCATTGTCATTTTATTCAGTGCTTTAACTGATTGTCAAAAGCCGTTATTGTTTCATAGCCCCCAGGACGCTCAAACATCGTTATCAGCTGCATGTGCTTAGCACTGTGCCCGATTAACTTGTCAGATGATGAAAAACTAAAGGTTGAGACCTTCTTTTGAAGAGTTTGTGGTGGGAAGCAGGCAGAGCAGAGAAAGCAGCCAAAGCTTGGAACAGGAACAAAGATGCATGGACTTGATCTGGGTCAGAGGTTGTGGGGTGCATTAACCACGAGAGTGTGGTCTTCAGGGGATGTCTGAATGTGAAGAGGATGGGGCCAGGTACACTCACCCACAAGTCACCCTATGGGACGGTGAAACTGTAGGATTTAAATGAGTTGTCTGGAGTTGGAGTTTGGTTCAGGAGCAGAAGGGAGGACGGTGTTCCCAAGAAAGGTTTAGTGAATTCCCCGAATCTTCAGATCCAACAGCTGGGCTGAAGGTCTTTAGGGTCTGAAGTAAGAGAAGTACTGTGAGCTGTGGTTTCATGTTTAGCAGTGCCACCTTCAGCTGGATTAAAACAGCTTTCACTCCAGGCTACTCCTTCCTGCCAGCGGCCCTGCCTGGCTGTTAGGTGCGTCTGTGCCATCTGCTGAATCCATCCCTTCATCCTGGTTGCTCTGTGGCTCCACAAACAGTTGAGTCAGCTCTGCGAAGCGGCAGCGTAGGGTGGGAACCAAAGGGTGGGACCGCTTAAATTGGCACTGCCATCAAAGGAGCAGCCAGGCAACTGCAGCCAAAGCAGCTGCAGGATTCCCTGTTGCAAACTTGGGAGCTGTTGGATGAGGCAGACTGGGCTTGATGGAACGGGCACGCTGACACTGAAACATGTGGTCAAGCGGAGTACTTGGTAACCCAGCAGAAAATGGTTTTGGCAGGGCTCTACTAGGTTAGCAAACCGACTTGGCTCAGCAGAGGGTCAGCTGAGCACCGGGGCTCGGTGAAGGGAGTGGAGTGAGGACATTTATCCAAGAGCAGGAGAGGCCAGAGGGAGGAGGACACCTCCTTTGAGGACAGGACTAAGCCTGTCTCACCTCGAGATTGTGGTTATAGGTAAACCAAACATAAAAGCCGTCTCTGGTGAAGCTTAACCTTCCGTTTTACATAACCTGTTTTCTTTATTTTACCTTCATGCACGTAGGGTTGTGGGGCAAGATAGACTGGGGTGAAGATACCAAATTTAGGTTACTTTTAGCGGTCAGTAGGAAAGTAGCCAGAGACAGCAAACTGAAACACACTCCTGTCTGTGTGCTGGCACCTGTGAAGGTGATGTACTCTGAGATGTGCTTCAAGGTGGCATAAGCTGAGGAAGGCTTCCCACCAAGCCATGGACTGGAAATGGGAGGCTGTGCCCAGTTATTGGGAAGAACTTTCAACTAAGAGATGTTAAAAGCTGAAGCCCCAGCAAATGGTGGAGCCTCACAAATGATTCCCTGTCTTTGAAAAACTTTTGTCTTCTGCCTGCACCAGCTGTGGATCCCATCCAATATTACAGTATTGCATTCTTTACGTTACGTTAGTATATATTACCGTATTACATAGTAAGTATTACAGTGTTGGATTGGATTTTGAACCTATCTATAGATTTCCTCCTGCATCTAGTATTTTAAATACTGATTTATAAAAGGAGAGAGGAAGCAGAGCACTTAAGTCCAAACAGCAAAATGACCTTTCTGAAACAACCTCATCAAAAAGTACCTCCAACCATCTATTGTTAACCTGTTCTTTAGATGCCGTTAAAATTATTCTGCCATAAATATGCTCTAAAATGACCCCGTTTTTTCAAATTCGGCACGAGGGAATGGCTTAGGGCTGCATCAGGGGAAGTTCAGACTGGATATTGGGAAAAAGTTGTTTACTGAGAGGGTGGTGAAGCACTGGAACAAGCTCCCCGGGGCAGTGGTCACAGCCCCAAGCCTGGCAGTGTTCGAGAGAGGTTTGGACAACACTCTGCGATGTATGGTTTAGCTTTTAGGTCGGCCTGTGTGGAGTCAGGAATTGGACTCTGTGATCTTCCCGCGTCCCTTCCAGCTCAGGATAGATATTCTGTGATTCATGAGTGTATAATATTAAATTTATGGTTAGACCTGGGACTATGAAAACTTCCTCCTTCAGCAGGGGAAATCTAAACAGAGAAAAAACCACCTAACTGATCCTGAGAACTGCTTAATGATTTGGGGTCTTGGCTTCGTTAACATTTCAAGCCTTCCAAAGCTCTGGGTCACAGTGCGGGACCTATTCATACAAGTATTAGTATTCTCGGGAGAAAGCAAACCATGATGGACTGGGCCCAAATTTTTTAATCACCTTCAGATGAAAGTTGCCAACTGTTAAACTGATGGCCGCGTAGCATGGAATGTTACATAAAACCAGTCATTACAATTTTCTCATTGCTTTTTCTCATTTTAAATGTCAAGACCACAAGAACTTGTCTTTGCATCGTTTTTGCTAGCAGGTGTGTTTAGATCCTGTTTCTTCCTTCCCTCTTTCCGCTGTGGTGACACTTGCCTGCATGCATTATTTATAGTCAGGTTTTTTCAGTGTTGGGAGCGCACTTTTACCAGCAGTTCAACCAAGAATTGCAAACAAACTCTTTGAATCCTGGTTGCTTTATAGAAACCTTCAGTCTTTTATGAGTTCAGCTCACTCCGTAGCGCTGCGAGTCCCCTGATCCTTTCCAGATGGCTCTCCACGTGGGCCACTTGAGACGTTTCTCGCCTACAGGGTAACTGGCCTCTGAAATTCTTCTCCTACCAGAACTTCCTCCTGATATTTGTGCTGTTGCGAAAATAGTTCTGCTAGCACTGAGTGAGTGAAACAGGAGTCGCTGAGAAAGCCAAAATGGGTTGGGTGTGTGGAAGTAAAGAGAGTATCTGGAGTCGCTTGTGATAAATTTACAAAGGTAAAGGTAGGGAAGGAGCTTCTTTGGGAAGAACGATACTACCACGTTTCAAGCAGCAATCAAAGGTGATAATTCCCTCATGCTAATAATAATTTAAAAAAAGATAAATTTTAACTGTGCTTAAATTGTTGATTTTAATACAACCAAAATGAATTGCAAAATGAGTCTTTGGGTGATGATAACCACTTATTTTACTAATGGGGAAAATTGCTAGCAAGAGACGGGATGCATTATAATAAAATGTGTCTGTCACTGCAGGATTTCTGTCACGGGCAGGTGATGTGGCCCCCGTTAAGTGCCCTTCAAGTAAAAATTGCTGAACCTGGGAAATCCTGTAAACAAGTTTGTCAGGAAAGCCAGCTCATCTGTGAGCCTTCCTTCTTCCAGCATCTTAACAAGGACAAAGCTCTGCTTCGGTAAGTACTTAAAAGCACAAATGTTTTATTTGGTCTCCATTGCGCTGGCTTTTGCCACACACAAAGTTTAGCATACAAACTCTGCGAGAAGGGAAGGTGGGGAGAGAATTACTGTCTGTTTGGCAGCAGCAAGCTGTGAGGTTGGCCCTCAGTCCTCCGTAGCAGTGGATGGGAGAGGCTGCTGCTGTGTCGAGAGCACCGCTCCACGTAACGTGTCTTTTTGCATGTGTGTGCAGCACTGAGGCCAAAATTTACATCTCTTCCTTACCCCCCTCCATCTCCTACATGCGTGCACAGTACGGTGCCCTTTGATGTTGGGCTGCTTGCACTGAGCAGAGACGCTTGTGCTGCAGGGATCGCAGATGCCAGGACCGTAGTTGTGTTTGGATGGGCCCTTTGCAGCCCTGGCTGAGCAGGGGCACCACTCCACAGCTTTTGCCGTGTCTTCCTGAGCGTGAGCGGACTTGCACGACTGGTAACACTGATCCCGACTGTGCTCAGTCAGCTGGGTCAGAAATGAAATGCCTTTGGTTGCAGGAAATAGAACTCGGTACACATTGTGCGATTTCTATCAGTTGTTCACATGATTTTAAATACAGCACTTATAGAGTGTTGCTTTGCTTTTATTTATGGAGCTCCCTCTTTGGTCGTGATTAACATCCACACTGATGTTAATCCATCAGTGACTATATTCATTGGCAATTAGCAGTGACTGTTTGGGTAGACCTTTTGTCGGTATTGTCCTAGGTAAAGAACTGCAAACCCTTGTACCTTAGAGGTATTAGTACCAATTTATAAAGTGTACCAGCTATGCATTAAAGCAATTAACGGTGCTTTCAGGTCCTGTCTCTTTGGGAATATGTCTGTTCCTTTCAGAATGAAAACAAAGCGCTCAAAGCTGGGCTCCAACAAATGGCTCCTAGGGAATCTGCTGCTTAGGTTTTCTGTCTCCACTTTTTGCTAAATTCAATTGTAGAAGGTTTTTATTTTTGTATTTTGTTTGAAAAGTTATAATTTCCCGTGGAGTTCAGAAGCAGCTCGTGTAAAAACTTTGTGCGGCTTTTTTTCTAGCTGTCTAGACAAAATTGTAATTCTCTGGAAAAAAAAAAAAATCTGTTAAATGCTGAAAGCTCCCAATGTTTCCAGAATAAGTGAAAAACAAGCCTCTGCTGGAACTGCTACCCTCGTGCTTAAGCTTTGTGGTCAGAAAATGGCAACCCGAATTTTTCTTTTTTCATCTAACTAGCGCTGGCTGGTTCCTGAGAGCAGTGGCTCCTGCCCTGCCCGGCTACCGCCGTGACACAGCACTGTCCCCTGGTCCTCGCCGCTCGGCTGGCCGCAGCTCCAGCTCCCCCGGGCTGCCCGGCACCCTGTGGCTGGCCAGCGGGAGATCCCTGTGAAATCAACCAGAATATCTCCTGATTTTGGATTCTTTGGGTTTGCCGTACTAGAAATCCATGGTGCTTTGGGGAGGGAGCAGTCAAAAGCTTTTTTTTTTCCTTTTTAACTTCTTCCCTTAATCTTTAGGAAATGGAGTAAAGCTGAAAAGGCTGTACTGCCCTCTGCAGAGAGAATCTGCGCAGGCGAAAAGAAATAAGAGTCATGTCCTGGAAATCTGCAATTCTATGTGTACTTGATTTAGGATGGAATAGCGCATTTTATTTTATTTTTAGCGAGGCGGGATGAAAACTGTAGCGAACTCCTGTAAACTCCACTGTGATTTAGATATGTGCTTTGCTTTTCAGGTATAATATCGAATGTCTCACCATGGAGTCTGCAAATGATATTCTGGTCCCCTCTTTTGATGGAAGAAGGAAGCACTGTGTTTTCCAAGGTGACCTCCTGTTGTTCAGCTGTGCCGGCTCCCACCCAACCCACAGAAGAATCTGCCCCTGCAGAGACTATATTAAGGGGCAGGTCGCGCTTTGTAAAGACTGCCTATAGCAGCAGCAGAGCTTCTTTTGAGTTGAGGACAAAATGTAAGTAGTTTTGAGAGGAGCTACTTATTACTTCCTGCACTTTTGTCCAGGTTTTTCGCTGCAGGCAGAGCTATCATTGCTGGGCAGAATTATCTACTAAGAGAGGAGAGATTCATAACAAACAGCTAACTGATCTTTTTTTCCTATAAGAACATTTGCAGTGTAACTCTTCAGATTCCTTCATCTGTTCGCGAAGAGAAATGAGTTTCATGTTCTACAGTGATTTGAAGACGACTGCACAGAATAGTTTGTAGAAAATTCCCAGACTCATCAAACTTTTTTCTTTTGTGTTGTTTGGGTGAAGTCTTTTCTATTTTTTTAATGAGTTAGGACATCCCCTATCATGGTTAGCTAAAGGATCTCAACTTCATTCCAGTAGAAAATTGAAAAAGGCGTGCTTGAGGGAGGGGGTTGCAGGGGAGGGAGGGCTGACATTTTTTTATTCTAGGTGCACTGATTTGGATACTGCTTTAGCTTGAATGGCTATAAAGTGGTGTATTTCACAAGAACTCGGAATGCCAAGATAGCTCTGTACCCTGTTATTGAGTTATCTGGGCCCAGTTCCTTTCTTTTTTCTTTTTTTTTTAAAAATCTGTGTATACAAGAAGTTATTGTCTGCATCACAGCTGCTGCATCAGAGCAGTCTAAACAGAGAGTATCGTGACCGAGCGAATAGGCAGTTGCCAGCGTGCGACACATCATCTTGGTGACTCGACAACTGACTAGGGTGGTGGCATTCTTCAGCGTGGAAAAGCTACAAAAACATACTGCCATTTTCGGAATGGACTTGTCACAGTTTACTGGTCCCATTTAGAGAGTAATCCTTGGAATTTGCCCATGCTTCTGTTGTAGTCTGTCTACTAGAAATACTGTGTGAAGCAAAAAGTATTCAGCATCATTGGAGCAATATTATCGTTAGAGCCTCAGTTTGCTACGGCTTCCAGTAGTTAAAGTGTTGCTGAATGACATAGAAAGGTTAAACTAAGCTAACTATAATTATTGTATGGTAGAAATGTAAAATGTCTTCATAACTAGCTAGGTTTTTAAAGAGAAATTATTTCTGAAGAACAAGTAAGAGGGAGACAAACAACTGCTAAGAAAAGCATTGATCAATCTCGTGGGTTCTTTGATCGGTTTTCTGTTTTGGGGGGTTGTTTGGTTGGGTTTTTGTGTTTTTTCTAGCAGGCACACCAGTTACAAATTTACACAAAAGCAATTCAAGAGTTTGGAATTCAAGTCAAACGTCATTTTTTTTTGAGCAGCAAGTTGCATCTTCTAAACCGCCTTCTTTTTATAGAGGTAATTTTTGTTATTTTCAGCAGAAGGTGGCATGCTTGACAGCACCGTTCGTAGTCAGAGAATGGTATGTAAGATCGGTGAGAAACAAATCTGCGATGTATTTTGATAGCAGTCATAGTCTGCAGGTTTACAATCGGACATGCTCTGATCATACTGGAAAAAAACTAAAATCAAAATGGAGGTTTTTTCCATAAAAATTACCATTACCAGGTAACAGTGAAAAGCATAGATATTTTAAATTTTCCTTTCTTGGATATATCTGGTTGGTTCAGATTTTTGTTGTAACCTGCATTCGTTACCTGTGTGTGAATTTTGATGTATCTCTTGACCTACCAAAGACCAAGCAAGGGAAATGCTATTTAATCGTGGATAAATTCTCAAGACAAGAGAACAGAACAGTATACATTTAAACTTTCGATTTAAAAGCAATGAATTTGCCTTGTCAAGCTTTTTGTTTCCTGCCTCAGCACTCCTGACGGTGTTATCGTGTAACACTCCGTAACATTGCTGTGGACTACACAGGAACTTCATCCGGAGAGATTGTTGAGTATCCATAAAGGGTCTGTGGGAGCTGTTGAGCAGCAGGGTCACCAGTAACTGGTTGCCATCGTGATAAAATCTGCTGTATTTTAAGTAATTTTCCAGAAACAGAACAGCTGGGCTCTGTAATGGGAGGCAAACTTTTTCTATGAAAAGCAAACAAACACAAACTAGTCTGAAAATCCTTACTGTTCCCATAGCTCAGCATTTGCTTCAGTCAGCACAAATGTAGTTTGCAAGAGTTTGCGTACCCTGGAAAAGCTCAGGGAGGAGGACTTAGAAGTGGGTCTGAGCAGGCGCAACAATTCATTTTGTATTTATATAAAATATTCCCCGCGTACCTGTGTGTATTTGTGCAACTGAAAAATCCTGCGTCGTAAAAGATACACATTAATACTTGGTGCTGAAAGTAAAGGCAAGAGCAGAATTTGCCTTGACCTGTTCAGCCTGAGGTTCTTCAGGCAGGAATTTAGTTTGGAATGAGATATCACAGAATTATATCGGAAACAAAGATTTGTATGTGTGCACTTAATGCAAAACATGTAGTTTTTGCCGTAGTGTAATTCTTTGCTGTAAATACATATTTGCTTCTTTCCCCCTCACTGTATGGTCCACATGGCATACTGCATTTTATTTTGCCTCTAAACCTTTAACGATGTGCGGGTTTTGGTATTTGTTATTATAAGATTTTCTGGTCTAGTGCTTTGCTCAATGCTAAGTTTGCCTTTACCACAGCAGGCAGACTCTGTTACAAGCTCTGTTTTTTTCGTGCTGTAGCACTGTTTCTTTCTACTCTACTGAACTGAATTACTGCAGACCGGCAAAAATGAAAGAGCAAACACCAGTGCCGCTTGCATTGCAGCCAGGGACAGAACATCCAAATTGGCTTCAGAATCGGTTGGGTCTGATCCTATTTCCACGGAAAGCTATAGAGAAGACTCACTAATCTTAAAGAAAAAAGAATCAAGACCTATAGTTTGATAGGACTCATTAATTTTAAACTCTCTTTTCAGAAGAACTACTTTTACGAAATACAGCTTCGGTCTAAATTGCTATAAAAGGAGACTATCATAAGAGAACTGTAAGCGCATAAACTTTGTAACCGTTACCCACTAACCCTGCTCCAGCACTCCCGCGTCACGCAGCAGGTTTGTTCCTGCAGGGATAAATACGTGAATCCTTCCGCAGATAAGCACTCAGGCAAATCCACGTGGGGCTATTTAAAAGTTTGAATGATTTACTAAAACATATAATACATATCCACATTTGAGGACAGAGAGCAGCCTTCTGTCTGAGTTCCATAACTATTTTCCTTCTAATTAGAGAATAAAGGTGTAGTCCAATTCTTGCACTTAAAACGAGGATATTGGAGATGGGACTGTGCTACTGTCCTTCAGTCTGACAGTAAAGCTGCGGCTTGCTTTACTCAGAAATCAGATTTTTGCATGACTTGCATTTGAACATATTGATCGGCGATTGATGGGAAAAAATGTCAAAAAGTTGAACGTAAAAACATTTTACAAGCTTTTAAACATATCTCTCATATCAAGACATTCTTTGTTTTAAAATTTTGTATTTTTGTATGTGACCTAGTTGTTGGTTTGTTTGGTTTTTTTTCAAAAATCTTGTTCCTACGAGATTAGAAAACTTGAGAGACGCATTTACATATTTATTAAAATTAACATAAAAGGCTTGCCTTTGAAAGGTAAAGTTGGTAAATACACACTGTTTAAAAATGCCAATAAAAACCTCATTTATTTCATATATGCAAGTTGATTTGCACATGTATAAATAGAGTTGCTTTTTGCATTTTTTGCTTAGTTTCGATGTTTCTTTTTGTAATTTATAGTTGCAGCTGTGCGTTTGCTTGTTTATATCAGTTTGTGTTTCTCCTACAAATATTTAATGTTTATGTGCCTTTTTTTACTTTCTTTGGGGTTTGGATGAGTGTTTGGAATGTGGGCGCTGTCTGAACAAGTATAATGGAACACTAATTACAGGTAAAAATAGTGCTTTGTGACTCTACAACTCAGCGGTATGAATCGTGAAATTCTATAGGTAGCGGAGAAATCTCTTCTAAAACTATAAGGTAAGGGTTAATAAGATAAAAGATACTGTAACTTTAATAATTCTTGCAAAACATTGCTTCTGCGGGCACAATACCCTTTACTGAGTATATATAACTGGACAGGAGAGCTCCTGCTGGGCTGGGATGTCTGTTTAACAACCAGAGAGCAAACTAAAGCCCTTCTGTTCCCAAGGAGCCAATGCGAACAGAAAACCTCTAGAAAAAGCTGTATCTGATTTGATCA